TTTAATAAATGTAAAAATAAAAACACTTTAGTTATCACTATGTAAACTTTTAATTCTTACTAAATACTATAAATTGTATTTATAAATAAAGTTGTAGCTTATATTTAGAGCTACAAATCAGTATATGATACTATATGCTGATCTTTAATCGAACTCGGACCAGACTCGAACTCGTATAATGGTTCAGTTCGAGTTCAGTTCGAATTTTGAACCGAACTCGAACTCAGACAAAAGTCTGGTTCGGTTCAGTTCATAGGAACACTACTCCCAACTTAAAGTTATTTAATACATCAACTCTCCCATCTGACTCTATTACGTGTACTCTCATGACAAAACCTAAAGTCATATTAAAACGGTAACACTATCACTCACCTTCCTGATGACACTTTCGACAACATTATGAACCCAATTACTGATTCTGAATTTTACCAAATGCTCAATTTTATTGCTCTCTACAAAGCTCCTGGACCTTCAGAAATTCAACATGTCCTTCTAAAAAATGTCAATCACACTACAAAATCTCTCCTGCTCACACTGTACAATATGTGTCTACTCGAATCTGATATTTTACATGAATTGAAGAGTGTCAACATCATCTTAATACCAAAAATCTTTAATTGGGAAGAAAATTTAGATTACACTCACCCAATCACCCTAATTGAAACTGCTTGTAAAGATCTCTCCTTCATACTTACCAATCGTATCTCACAAATCTGTAAAATTCACAATGTACTACAAGGAGGTAACTTCTCTGTACTTAAAGAAACCTCCACTACCACACCTATTCATATAATCAACAGCATCCTTGAAGATGCCAGAGAACACAACAAAGAAATATGGTGTGCTTTCCAAGATATGCAGAGCCTATGACTCTATCAGTTGGAAGATGCTCCATCTTGTCCTCAAACAAATCAAAATGAATCATTTTTACACATCTTTTTGCAGCAAAATTCATCATCAAAGACAAAATCAAATCTTCACAGAATATGATTTCACTGAACCATATCCAGTACTTAATGATCTTAATCAAGGTGAAGTTAATGATTCTATGACGCATTTTTTATGATTTTTTATTGTGTGAGATCGACAAACTTTACAGTAACTCAGGATATACAATCTCCTTCACCTGGATAACCAACATCATTACTCCTTTAACTCAGTCTTCCTCACACTCCTTTACCAATCTCGCATTTGTTGACAATACTATCTGAATTGCAAATGGACACAACAATTTACAATATATTCTTGATACTGCATCACAATTCTATCTAATGTGTGACATCAACATTAATACAAAAAAACTGAAGTAATTCACAACAACAGCAAAGATGACACTTTAACCTTGTCACTACATCTTGGTATTCACTACAACTCTATCCCTACCTTACTCTCACACATCAGCACCAAATATCTTGAACTTTACATTGACTCCAAAGGTTCTTTTTCTATCCAAAAAACAAAAATCTATGCTGACTTTACAACAATTTCCACTCTCCTTAAACGCAAACAAATTATTGATAAACAGGTCATATATATTATCAATTGCGTATTATATTCCACTTTCAAATATAAATCACAACTTTTGCTGTTCTTCAAAACTGATTGTGAAAAACTGATACAACCAATCAAAGTCTTAATAAAAAACAAAGCTCATCTCCCTCTTCACACTCCTGACTCTATCTTATATCATCCAAAATTGTACAACCTGAAAAATTTGTGGCAAATACAATTTCAAAACAAAATCTCAGAACTTTTCTATCGATTGAATGATCCTGACATACTTGATAAAATTACATTCATCAGATTATAGTCACTTCAAGAACAAAGATAGTCCTTCAATCCCATCCTCCAACACCCGAATACTCTAAACCAGAAAAAAATCTGATAACATCCATCCTCATCCTTATATATGATCATAATATCAGCTTTCACCAGATCCATCAAATTAATATCACTTCAATCTAATAAATTACAATGGTCACTGGAAAATTTGCTTGATCCTTGATCTATCTTTCTCAAATATTATCACATTCTCAAACAGAACAAAACTCTCTCTCTTCAACAACTCACTAAATACTCTAATAATGCTTTAATCACTTGGCGACAATACAAAACCCATTGTTGCAAAACTCGTCACAGATCCACTTCATGATGGTTCAAACTTCTTGAATAACAAACTATCAATCTTCATGATCCAACCAGACAAATCTCCCATCGAACCTTTCTTTAATCCAGATCAAATCATATTGATACACAACACGACATTCCTAACTCTCACATGCTAACTAATGATCCAAACTTTAATTCATGACAAAATACCAAAAATCAACTGCAACATACTATATCAATTGAACTCTTCACTGATGGTTCCATACAAAAAATGCACTTCTCCAACATTGTCTCCAGAACTGCCTGAACAAATTGGTCTTCTACAATTTTTCTCCAATATTCCTTATTGTTCTGCACATTCACTACTGAATCTGAAACATACGCTCTTCTTACAATCACTAAACACCTTCCTCACAATTGTCATTGTATCATCTTTTCTGATTTTCAAGCAACAATTCAAGACTTTAACTACAATATCACCAATCATCATCTATATTCTCTACGCAAACTACTTCAACATCCTAATTGGCACTTATGGCTTATCATTCATCATAACGTCAGCAAAAAAAACTTACATCTCACACTTGTAAAAATCAAAGGACACTCTGGTATTCCTGGCAATGAGTTTGCTAATTAATTAGTCAAAAACACATGCTCTTACTCCTCACTTAGTATCAATTTCAAAACAATTCCACTTCTAAAATTCTACTCTGTCTTCAACAATTAGCTCAATATTACATCCAATCTATGCCACATTTTAAAGCTTTAGAACACTACTGAACACATTCTAAAATGGCAAAACCAAACTGTGCTCTATCTTACGCTCAAAGCTGGATTCAGATTCACAGTTAACTGACAAGCAACACACTTAGTATGATACCAGAACTCTGGTACCAATTCGTTAATTGCAAACGAACAATTTTCTAATACTTGCACCTTTTTTATTAAAGCCATTCACAATCTGCTTCCTACACTAGACAACCTAAAAAATATAAATCACATTTATATTCATCAGATATCTGTAACTGCTGCTTATTACATACAAAAACTAACAACCACATCTGGACTTGTTCCAAATCTGAACTCTCCTGACTCCTCATCTTTCAAAAAAGCAACAAACAACTACAAAAACTCCTTACAAAAACTTGTCTCATCAATAATCTCACTCTTTCACCTCATATAGCTACCATCATCAAAAACTTCACCAATTCTGCTTACTTTCTTAATTATCCTACTTATAATTCTCACAGTATTATCATTACACCTGGTTTCATCGAAACCTTTAAAGACTTTGTGCCTCAGGAACTTACAACTTTCTTCAAAGCTCAAAACATCTCTCACAAACACATCACTCACATATTCACCCTCTTTGTCACATGGTTCACAAAAAAAGAAAGAAAACTTATTTGAAATTCCCGATGTACCATTCAAATCTCCATTGACAAATCTCTATCTATTACTACAAGACAAAAAAAACAATCCACTGGAAAAAAATCTGGATGACCTCTTGGATCATCCTCTCCCACTTCATACAACACTCTTACTAAATTGCACTCAAATCCTGATCTCTGCAAATGCAAACTCCATACTAAGTCCTTCTCCACAAACTTATATCCCAAAGAGGGTCTTATTAAACTCTGTACTGATCAAACTTTGCTTGAACTCATTATCTTACAATCTCACATAGATCATCTTATTGTATCTACTGGCTTAGTTTAGTTTTAAACAAGTCTTGGTGACTAGTTACACTGTAATCTTCGTATGAATTTTTGGTGATTCACTTTGCCTTTCGCTAGTCGTTAAACTTACGTATGTAAATTAGATTAGTAAGCAAAATGTACAAGACTACACTATAGCAAATTTAAATAAGTCATATTATTAAAATTATTCAATAAAATAAGCAGTGATATTTTTCTAGATATCATTATAAGCATAAAGTATAATACAGTTTTTTCATAACAAATACTAATTTTATAATTTTGTTATTAATTAGAGAAGATTATGATGCAAAATATAGCTATAAATAATAGAACTAATTCTCTTTATTTTTCTTTGTATTTTTTACTTTTCACTACTTTAAAGTTTTTTTGTAACTGCAAAAATCGTAAGTTTCTTAATTTGTTTTCTTCCAATAAAAGCAAAATCCAAACAAGCAAATACCCATCCTCTTTCTCTTCAAGGAAATTTGCAAGTACTCATCCTCATCTATCCATTAGGTCAGCAATTAGACAGATCACTTTAACGAAATCACTTCATGAAAGTAGTTTGAAGTTATTTTTGAAATATTTATCATTATTCGTACCGATTGCTGATCCTTGACTTTCGCGACCGATTGTTCCTTCACGAGATTTTTCCGACTCCTGACGATCTCGAGACCAATAAGGTTGCGCAAATTTTTGATCAACTCGGAAAAAATGCCTAAATCTAATTTGGTGCACTAATAAAAAATGTCAGGAAGGCGTAACTTTGACTCTAAATACTAACCCTAGTGCGGAATGTTATTCCTAAGGACCCGTGGGATATTATAGAAAATTTGTTCTCGGATCGTAGTACTACTATTTAAACTAATCGGGTAATTGTTGTGGCCGGGGAAATAGAGTCGGAAAAAATCACGTGAAGGAACAATCGGTATCTTAATGTCTCGAGACAAATTGGACTTTCGAACCTTAAAGTGAAAGTTCAATTTATTCTTATAATCAATTATATCAATATTATGAAAGTCTATAAATAAATTAAATTTACCGTTCCTCAACTTAATTAGCATTGTTATTATTAATATCATCAAATTATCAGCCTTACCATAAAAATTACATTATTTATTCTTTACAAATGAAATAAAAAAATGACTATTTATGCAAATCAAACTTATCAATAACCAGTCCATCAATATTATGCGCAACCCATTTCAACGTCTTATCCCATATCTCGATTGTAACATAATGATAAGTCTTTTGCACACTATCATAAATATGCCAATCCTCGACCCGCTGATAATCCAATTCACCACCAGCACCGCCAATAATCGTATACGTAATACCATTCGAGCTGCCACGTTGATAATTATGTTGATGTCCACTAATCACCAGATCAACACCAAACTCTTGAAACAATGGAACGAAACGCAACCGCACAAATTCGCCCCAATGTTTCTCACCTTTGTTATGCCATGCGTAAGGATCCCAGAACTCGATGAACGGTGGTATGTGTACGATTACGACGCGAAACATGGCGTCGCGCGATTCTTGGCTTTGTAGTTCCGAAAGTAACCATGTGTCCTGTAACGGGTCATCCATATTGCTGTCTAACACTATCCAACGCGTGTTTGCAATTGTATACGCGTACCATAGTCGGCTACTTGTGTACGGGTATTCGAGGCTTGGATCGTAATCGTGATTGCCATGCGCGTAAATTAGTGGAGCGTTTTGAGCGAGACGGTGGTGTGTCATTGGATCGTAAAAATCGGTCTGCCATTGTTGGAGTCTGTCGTAATCTTGGACTGCGTCACCAGCATGTATTATAAAATTTGGTGGTGGGTGTCTTTTCACGACACCATCTAAAAGCTGGTTGAATACCGATAGACCAAATTGGTTATCGGATATTGCAAGAATTCTGATTGGATAATTTATTGATTGCGAAAGAGTATTGCTATTAGAATCAAGATTAGTTTGATTTCCGGGAAATTCTGATGATGAAGACGTTGATGATGGTGATGATGAAGACGTTGATGGTAAAAAGAATTGAAAAGAATAAAGTGCTAGTGAAATTTCATTTCCACCGCCAATTGGTGAATATGTGATTTCATAAGTGTATGTGCCTGAAAACGGAACTGGTCCAATAATGGCTTTGTAGACGTTATGTGTGCTATCCAGTATAGCTGGAATTAACACGTCCGACATTCCTCCAACATTTTTTATCTGAACATCCTTCTGATTATTGTCGTTATCATTATGATTTTGCAGATACCATCGTAATTTTACATTATTCAGTACACAATTCGACTCCCAAACCGCCAACACACGATTTGTATCCTCAATAAACAGCATCGGTTGCTTTCGTAATGAGCACCCCAAATATCCTCCATTGTGCAAACGATTCCGAAATTTAAATGAGAATAAAATAACACGTGGACGCAGTATCGGCCATGCAAACAAAAACAAGGCGAACGCCAGAAAACCGAATAATATCGCCAGACTTAGAATGCGCTTTAGTTTACGACAACTTCGAAGGGTGGTAAGACGAAACAAATGAACCAGTTGTTGGTTTAATGTCGCTTTAGTGGATGGAATGGAGGTGAAAGGTGGTGTTGCTTGGTCAAGATTGGCGTTTGAAGAGGATTGAGGTGGTGGTAATGATTCTTTGGTATTATTGTTGGCAGCTGTCGAGATTTCGAGCGAGCAGTGATGCGGTGGTTGTGGTTTGTTATTAGGCGAAGAAGAAGAGGGTGGAGGAGGTTGCGATTGATTTGAAGTCTGTGGTGTAGACGACATTGCGAATAACACTTATGTATTTTTCTCACAAAATATAATGATGTCACATGAATAAAACGTTAATTATGCATTATATAATAAAGTAGTCTATTTAAAGACGTTTATTTATAATTAAAACTATTAATCTTTCTAAAATAAATAATGGAAAACCAACAAATATTCCACAGGAAAAGATAGACAGACATAACAAAGGTAGGATAGGTAATAAAAATATTCCCCTTTCTGTTTACTTGCTAACAGCCAAACAATATCCTTTACAAGGCCTGCCCATTGAAAATGCCTTTATACTCGGCCTCACCCTCCATCGTTACAAATATCATTTGACAGATTTTGGTGCCGGGGTGCAACGCTAATGTTAGACTCGACGCGTTAAATATTTCGAGAACTGTCTGGTTATTTACTCCCGGATTGATAAATGATGCGGTAATATGTACTGAAAGTCCGAGCCTTGCAAATCGTGAGCGTCCCTCTGATTTTTTTATTGTTGACGTTATTTATTTGTTATGATGGTTTAATTATTATGGTTCACGTAGTGATGTGATAATGGTAAATTTTAGTGAAAAGTAAAGAAAATCAAAATTAAAATAACCGACGCGTGATTATTCACCTACTAAAGCACATAGTGTTGGTGGTAATTGAACCCGTTCTCTTGTGATCCCTTAATGAATCATAGAAAAATTAATAAAAATTAACCCAACCGCATAAAAAAATCATCAACAAGGAGATAAACTACCCAAACACATTTGCCCTGGACCAAGATAATATGGCTTCCCTTCGTCTAATTTTAACTGCGGAATCAAAATTCGTGAATGTATAAGCGATTTTTAACTCATCTTTTTCCCTGATCAACCGAGAAAAAGAAAAAAGTAAAAGAACCCTCATCATCATCTGATTCATTGAGTGTTTGCTGGCTGAATCCGCAGCACAGCACAGCAGCGAAACTTACGATCCGAGAGAAACTCTGATAATCTTTGGCGCCAGCCTCGTCGCTTATGGGAACCGGTCCATTGTTGTGAATGAAATACCGAAATTCGTTACCTAGCGTTAGATCAACACTAGCAAAATCGAACAATTGAAAAAATCGTTAGCTTAATTTTGATAAAATTCCAAATTCCCGAAAAAATAAAAACCTTGCTGTCCCAATGTGCTCATGATCGAAGGGATCAATAATTAGCTTCCTTTAATATTCAAATGTAAAGGAAATAAAAGCCTTAGTTTTAGTTTCATCAAATTTTATAAAGAGGAGATCAACCGACAACGCCTTCAAAAAATTTCAAAGTACAAAATTGGTCGCCCTCTTACTTCTCATTTAAATATCTCTTTATTTCTGATTCAGAGAGAACGCCCATGATTTTTTATTTGTTTTAATAATAAACACTAAGGAAATGCGCCAAAAAAGCACGATAAAAGTCCTGTCTCTTTGAGAACGAGAAAAAAAAGACGACAATAGATACCAACGAAAGAAACTTACAGAATTCGAATTACGGAATTTCCCACTCGAATTAATAATCAATCAACGTTAACGTTAATCAATTAATCAATCAATTAGTTAATTAATTAATTAAATTAATCTTAATAACGACAATATTCTAAATACTTTTCCTAGTCACCAAAATTTGAAATCAAGAACCAAACTGGAAATAACCTTTACACAAGATCAAAACTAACCATTTATAACTCAAAAACATGCATGTATTGTGTGCTCCCAATTCGGAATATATATAAATGAAATAACTTTATTGTTAAAACGATAATGTGCCGCATGTATGCTAACAATAAACATTTAATAGTTTGATGACGTATTTTCAATTCAATCTCAAGACAGGATTATAAACTTTCTCTCTCCTCTATGATTTTACTATATTGTATATATAGACATCATGCTAATAATATTATTTAATAATTTGAGAAATTTCCATTTCCGCGATTCAATGATCCATGATCCAAACTGTTCATAGTATAGAGAGAATAGTAAAGAGTGAAAGAAAGAGAGAGAGAGAGAGAGAGAGATCTATGTGATGATTAATGAAAATAAAAGTTATGATTATCAAAATAGTCGAGGAATATAATGTCTCGTCCAGTCAGTTAGTTCACCAAGTTCCTTTTTTTATCCATAATTGAGGCGGAAGACATCATTAAGAACCCAATATGTGGCTCCCTCGGAAATCAGCTGGAATACTTGTGTGAATCTTGTTGCATTTGTTTCCTGATCGATCTATTTTTTAGAAATAATAATTAAAACGAATTGATGTAAAAGTAACGTTCCAATTATTCTTTAGTAAATTGCTAATTAACACATACCAGTAATTCACCAGTCACAACCACTAATAGAGCATTTGCAGGACCAGGCTGCGCATCCAAGGTACTTACTTTATGCAATACTTTCTGAAAAGGTAAAGACTACAAACCAATTATGAAGGTTTGATTAGTGAAACATGAATACTATTTAGGATCTTATGACAGAGCAAGAACATACCGTCAGTTTCTGAACAATGGGCGTTGCACCTTGAAATTGATTGCCTTCAAAGGTGAGCATAGATTGATCCCGCTATCAGATAACAAGTCCATAGAAACAATTAAAATATATATTGGTGGTATCAAACAAAATATCTTGGCACTAATGCAAGGTAAACTTACATAAAGTGTTGCCAAACCAGATCGATCTTGTTCAAAGACACTGTAATAGTATTTAATAAATTCTGATGCAATACTATTATAGTCCATTTTTGGTTATATTGAGGAGAACAAAGTTGAATTTCCGTCTGTTTGGTTGTGTGTATGGTGTAAAGATAAGACTCAAAAAAGATTCAAGAACCTCTATTTGATATGTCACGTGTTTAATAATGAAAAATTGATTGAACGGAGTAACTTTGATTAGGTAACTTTGGCGTGTATCGCGGACTTTGGACACATTGTATCTATAATGATAAGTGATATACGCATTCTATAGATGTCATTTGCACTAAAAAAAAAAGAACCTTTCATTATATCCGTTTATGTACTTAAATAAAGTCTTTTACATGTACTTTTAAGATAGTTCTCTTTTAATTAATAAAACTAACTTTCAATAGTTCTCTGTTAATTAATTATACGCGATAATTTTTTTCAAAATGTCCACATTTCTTCGTGAAAACAAAAAACTCCAATACAATCACTGAACTCGGCTAAATTCCTCAATATAGCCTGTTCGGCACGCAAACGGAGAAGATCAAGCAACACACCCTTGTGCATACGCCCTTTTTCTATCCAAAAATCTATAATATCATACCTACTTATCACGCTTGTTATTATTCCTCCTCTCTTCTTTCTCTCTCTCCCTCTTTCAATTTTGGGATTTGACCCTGATTAGAAAAGAGTTCGCAAAAAGATGTTTCATTGGAGTGTTTTTTTGTGAAGATGATGAGGTTGGGAAGCGAGGTTTGGGAGGTATATGGCGAGTGAGGGAAGTGTTGTGGATGATAGATAAAGTTGGGTACATCAAGTAATTCATATAATTGATTTTATTTTATTCAATATAAACTTTCAATTTATAAATAGTATTATGATCCGTATAAAACAAACCTATATTCACTATCGAATCTGATGAAGTTTGTGTCAGATGTGATGTTAGGAGCTTTATTCTTTATCGGTGAGGTGATGATATAGAACATTAATGCATTTGAAAATATAAAGACTATTCTTTATCCTTATATATGTATGTTGTAGGTGAATCTTAACCCATATGTATAAAATTGAAAATAGATTTCATTATTGTCATTTCTGTTTGTTTTATCCTGATTTCTGATAATTATAATTTTGTTATCTTGCTTAATCCAAAAATTAAATTCATATATTTCTTGCATTTTGATCATCACAATAATGGATGACAAATTGACTGGTTGTCAAGAAATTAATTAATTAGCTCATGGCGCAAACTTGTTTATTTATTGAATTTACTTATTAATGGATATCTCAATTCAAGCTAGTTTAGGAAATGTCAAGTAGCAAATTTACTATGATATGACCATCTTGTGTGATTTCGATTATTGTCTTTTTGAGTATATCTTACATACGTTATCAATATCTGAGTAAAAACAAATTTACTGTGTTAACTAACTATAAAATTAAAATTAAAAATAAAAATAAAAATAACAATAATAATAACAATCAATAAAACGTTATATACAAGTGATAACACTAAAATTCAACTACAGAAACCAAACAGAAGAATCAAACAAAAACGTTCTTCACAATTTTCCGAGCCAATGTGACAGTATCGTGAATACTTGTGCTCGTTTTACCCTTATCGTACAAAATATCGGATCCCACAGCCTGATCAAAAAATTTCCAATAGAGATGTTTGAGATTGATGGTATCCTCTTTGACGATCTTTTTGTTTACCTCCTCGAGCATGGAAATGAATGATATTTGAAATTTATCATTTCTACATTAATGATGACATTATTGGCGTTAATGATTTGAATGAACGAAAAGATAGTAAGAATAAGACTCACGCATAACGCTTCTTTGTGACTGTTTGTTTAATAGATTCCACACAGATTTTCCCTTTGAAATCGCTCTCTCTAAACCACATCCCGTCTCGTAATTGTAAACCTTTGCGCTGGAGATCTGCAAATACTTTGATATGTTCCGCGTCGATAGGATGGTTATGACTAGTTTTTAGTAAGAAGCGAATGTCGGGCGCTTCAGACCCGGAAACTACATCCAGTATTGCTTTACGGCGCTGTCCTCTTACACAATTTGTGATTTTCCAAACGCCTATGTATTATTTATTAAATATAAGCATAAACAATCATTACACATAAAAGAAACTAAGCAGCGTCACGCGAAAAAAAAAAAAAAAAAAAAAAAAAAAAAAAAAAAAAAAAAAAAAAAAAAAAAAAAAAATTGTAACATTTTCGTTCACCCTCTGTAAAATTCAACCCCCAAAGACCACATCTTTTTGTTTTTAAAA